AGAAGAGCTCATGGATCCCACAAGTTAGGTAAAGATTTAGACTAAGCAGCATGAATATGGTTGGGTGTTCATGTGACCGTAAAACTTGGGCTTCAGTATCTGCCCTAAGGCATGTCTGCTGCCAGCCGCCACCGAGGCTGCATGTGGTGTTTACAGCCTGAAGTGTGCTGACTCTTCTTTGCACCGAGACATCACACTGATGATCTATAACTGAAGTTAACCAGCTACAGTTCCAGCTAAAGACTCAGCTGCTCTCTAAACTTTTCTGTTCATCTGTCAGGTTGAACGTGGGAGGCCTGTTAATTTCCAAGAGTACTTGTTGTCACAATGAAGCCAGATTTTGGTAGTCATTATTGAATTACGCTTTTATTTTCTTAAGCTTGGCTCTTGTTCCCTAGCAACATTGCTATCAGTGCTGCTGGCAGCAGCTGCTTCTGGTTGTGTTCAGCCAGCTGTTTATTGTGAACAGGCCTCTATACCATGCTTAACTCTGAAAATAACTGAGTTGCCTTAGTGACGGGCAATTTATAAACTCATCCTTAACACTGTGCAGGACTCCAGCGTGGATTGGTTCTTCACCTCCTAGGTCCCATCGCTAACTTAGGAACTTGCAGTGCAATTTGTACAGTCAACAAAGCTTGAGTTGTCTGATTGTGTATGTGCTTGAAAATGATAAATGTGAACAGTTGTGCAGTAATAGAGCCCAGTGTTGAGCCCAGCAAATACCAAGTTCTATTATTAAGAGAAATGAAGTTCAGCAGTTGGTCATGCCAAAGAGGAAAAGGTCTTTCAGCTTGGCTGCCTCGTGTTGTTACATGATCACAGCACTATCCACAGGTACTTCCAATTACTGTAGTGTATCTAAAGAATGGATGTTTATTTATATGACCAAAATACACTGCAAAGCAAATTGGCTTTAGAACTGCAAGCTGATTTCTGTATATAATTGTACATGGAAATGAGTCATATTTCTATTTAAAGGTTTTGTCAGGGAATGTATACATAAATAAAACTGATACAATACCCAACACCCAAAAGTAGCTCAACAACAATACTACAAATTAGAGTTTTGCCTTCACAACAGTAAAAAAAGGTTTAGCATTTGCCAAGGAAGAATAGTAACAGTGCTGCATTGGACTACATTGAGCATACCAGGGAAAAAGCAACACAACTCCTGTAAGGAAAGTCAGTCTGCATCTTTCAAAGCTGATGTACTTTTGCAAATGTTGCTTAAAAAAAATTAAAAATGACAGGCTAGGGTTCCTCACATCTAAGTCTAGGCAGTGGAGGCACTTGCATTTGTTGTTGCTCTACAGTCTTTCTGCAACCAATGGAGAGAAGTGGGCTGATTCACCCTTGAAGCTGCCTGTTGAGTGCAGAGGAGGCTGCAGATCACTGCTTTCTTAAGTGATGTGACTCAGTTATTTTCCTTCTAAGAGAAGTAAATTACAGCAAAGGAGGAAAACTTGGGGTCTAATTTTCTCAGTGCAGAATTACTGAAATTTACCTGTGGATAGCACAAGGATCGTGTAACAAAACTCACATATAACTTAAAATAAACCTTAAGCAAGCAAGAGATTGCTCTGACATTTTAAACAGGTCTAATTTCTAATATTACGAGTGAAGTCTCCTGATACTCATTAGGATTTCCTCATGTCCTACAGTTTGTAAATGGAGTTTCAGAGTAAGACTAAAACGGGTGAAAAAGTGAATGACTATTAGTCAAAAGTTAATATTGGGATTTTCCAGCTATGGTTACTGGGCTAGTGTATTTGTTAACAATTTAAAGAAAACACCCCAATTTTTTCAGCTGCCACACCAGAAAGGCAAGTGCTGCAACATGGGCCATAGTTCAGAATCCCTCCATGTTCAGTTATAGGAATGGAAGCATTTTTCCCCCAAAGAGACTGCTGCTTTAATTTTTGAAGTGTAGCTCATCAAAGGAGGTCCTTTGTGGAAAGAGTTTTCTAGTCTCAAAAAGCAGGGAAGTTTAGTTCCAGAGACTACCTGCATCAAGAGTGAAAAAATTATATTCTACTTTAAGAAAGAAAACAAAGGTTCTTGCAGCATTACATAAAACATTTAGGAAGAAAAGATGATAGGTATATCCTAAAAAAAAAAACAAAACTAAATATTATATATTCTCCACTTTTCTAATACACAGATATTCTTACTCTTTAAAGTGATCGAAGATCACACATCTGACATTTAATTTTAATGTGTACACATTAAACGTAGAACTACGCAAACCAGTTAGAAAATAATCCAATTTTTTTCTTCCAAAATAACAGATCATGAGAAAAACAGATGTGAAAATTTATTTAGACTAAATTAGAATGTTAAAAATTCTATAATATTGACCCATGTAATTTATTGCCAGTATGTCTCATAGGACTAACATTTTCCTTGGCAGGCTCAGGTAAATACAGTATACACATGCTGCAGTAACTGAAAAAATGCAAAAGGAAGGAGTCAAATCTGTGAAAGCAATTCCTACGTTGGCACTGATTGCAGCTTGGTTTTCAACCATCTTTGGGCTTTT